TACATACATATATATACATACACACACACACACATCGATCGCCAACCCAATGTGGTAAAATCTAGCGGGCGACTATACTGTGCGAGTGCAGGGAAATACGGTGAAACAGACAGGCTTTGCTTCAAACCCCAGGCTCGGACTCGTCAATGCACAGTATGCACCCCGGAAGAGGTCTAGGAGGAGGCCTAGGTGGAGCCTCGAAGCAGTGAGCAGCCTGTGTGCTATCGACTGAGAGTCGAAACATAACAGTCCATTTTCACAAAGGCAGAGGTGTCGTCCACCACTCCCCACACGTACCCCAGTCTTTGCCGCCCTCTCCCCCCGCTTTGGCTTCACGACGGGTTTCCTAATAATATTTACAAGCCTACAATAAAACCAGCACACCGAAAAAATGCACCTTGAGGTCCATGATCCAAAGCGTGGATAGAGCATCCAAGATCCTCGGCTGGCCCCGGGCCGCTCGAGGGCAGTACTGCGGGCCACGGGGTGAAAACAGAAGTTAACCACATCCTCGTAAAATTCAGCACTCACAGATATCCTGACGGAGCCCGCTGCAACTGTTCTACGTTCGGCGGGAGATATCTCCCCTAGCCCTAAACGCCTTAAAAACATAAATTAAGCAGCCCAAAAGCCCCACCATAGATCTACATAGCAGAGGTATATTGTTTCATACTGGTATTGCCATCCGACTGATTTGTTAAGCCCCATACAGTACCCTTTGATCTGCAAGGCCAGTGTCTGGAGGCCGGTATTGCCCCACACCCTTCCAGGTGCACCTTCGGGCTTCAGGACAAAAGAGGCGCGGGCCTGTGGTTTAAAACGGTTGATTGAAAGGGGGTTCAGGAATATTGACACTCACACTCGGAGAAGCCTAGTTTGAGGTTTTGGGGTTGAGGGCCCAAGCTTGAGCTCAGAAGAGACAAAGGGTTAGGCGATCTGCAGATGCAGGAGAGAGACCGGCCTTCCTGGAAGGGAATTAAGGAATTCTGTAAACCTGAAAGACACCAAAATCAACCTGAACCCTAAACCCTAAACCTGCTGGAATCTCCTGGAAATATTGACCCGCTCCTGTTCCGAAGCTGGAAGCTCTAAATCCTAAGATTAGCTCTCCAGGTCGTGAAGCTCTATAAGGGGTTATAGGGTTTAGGAAGTTTAGGGGTTGGGGTATACCATGCCCTAAACTTGCAAACCGTGCAGCAGGACCTTTGGCCTGCCATGGCAACACAGAGTCTTATCTAGGATACCAGACTGAACCTCAGAAACAAGCATATGGTTCGGGTATCCCATGTCATATCCCCTCTTCAAGGATGGGAATGAGGTAGGGATGTCCCACCCAAAGGTTCTCATGTTTGGGTGCTGTCTGGATTTCAAGTTATCTTCTCCGTAGGCGCTTAGTCTGAGGTGCTTCTAGCCGACATGGTAAAATCGATCCTTATGTCTGTCTGAGGCTTTCCAATTGTTTCTCGTGTGTTTAGGAAGCATAGAAAAGAAGGCTTTGTTCTCAAGGCTCAATACGGATCTCAGCTGATGAGTCAGTTCTCGAAGGCAGGGTCGTCCAATTCGGGGAACTGGGGTGATCTAGCTATGAAGAAATCTAGACAAATCCTTCCGAGACTTGGGCCCTTCTGAGATCTTTGCAAACACCTCGGCTGGCCTGACACAGGTTTCATCTCATCTTTGCCCCACGCTCGCTCACGGTATCCTTTCCAGGCGTGAATGGCTGCATTCCTGCGGGCTGCGGGCTTCGGGTCTGCACGCGTAAAGGGGGCTTCGGATCTCAGTGGGTCTCGGCTTCATAGGTGGCCCTTGAGCTGTGGAGAATGGAGCTCCAGGGATCCTGCGGGGCTTGGAAAGGGACTTCGCTGTGAGTCTGGACTCGAGGCTGTGACTTGAAAAAAGCCGCCAGAGTTAATCCTTAGTCTGTCCTGGCGTGTGTGTGTGTTGTGTTGTGTTGTGTTGTGTTGTGTTGTGTTGTGTCGTGTCGTGTCGTGTCGTGTCGTGTCGTGTCGTGTTGTGTTGTGTGTGTGTCTAGCAATCTCTATGTCTCCGGACGCGCAGCAGGCTGCCTCACCGAGGAAGCCTAAACGCCTGAAGCCCAAGGGAGGAACAAGTGGAAAGGACTACAATTCACGACCTGAGTAACTTGAAAAACTCCTTGGCGCACAGGGGCGCTTACAGTCTTTTCATTTTTACTCTTGAAATCTTTATGGAAGAATTCGCTTTATCTTGTCTGCCGGGTTCTCTAGCAGTCAGTGACTGAAGACATCCTTAAGACCCTGCTACGCCTTACTCCTGCCATCTGCAACCATCAAGTACCGGAGTTTAGACAGTGGAGTTCCTAGAAGGGCTGCTCCTTCCTCCAAAATGAGACGTGGGTTTTGGTGTATATTCGAATAGAGGTATATTAAGGAACCTTGAGGAATCATGTTTACTATTTTAGGACCTCATATTAAGTAGATTGTGACATGCAGAAAGGATCAGTCCTCGCCATGAGCCGCCATTGCTCAGCTTCTTTGGCTGAGGCCTCACATTTTGCAGTGGGAATTTGGCTTAGGATTAATTTGGAAATGTTTGGGTAATTTGGGTTTAAGGTCAATAGGGAGAGGCGGGGTACCGTGGCAGCTTAATCATTACATGTTGCGCGGTAACAAATGAGAGAGTGCACAGGCTTTGACACGAAGATTCGACTCACGATCCAGAGTTGCTGACCTTAAGTTACCTTAAGTGTCGAGCCTTGAGATTTTGCGAGTGTTTCGGAGGCACAGTTTATCTGACCGGACATGTGGCTGAGGGTTTAGGCTTGAGCGTATCGGCCGTTTCTGACTGCCGGATAGCTCCCCTAAGATCATCTCCAATGCCGACAGTCGCAAGCGCACATCAAGCCTGCAAGCATCATCAGCGGTTCCCCAGGACAAAGACAGCATAATCCTCGAATCCAAGTCAAATCTCAACGGAAGTTCACTCCTGAATACCGCTGTCTTGCGCGATAGCCTCATAATATCGTAACCCCAGCCGAAACCCTTATCTGAAAGCCGTTTTTGCAGCAGGCCTCCTTGTATCAACAATCCCAAACCCCAAATCCTCAAACCCAAACCTGGCATAAACCCCAAATCCTAAGACCCTATAAACCCCAAACCTAAAAACCCCAAACCCCAAGCCTGGGAAGTTTAGGTGAAGAACCTTCCAAAAGTGCGGCCTCCAGGTCCGAAGCGGAGAAGCGGTGAAGCCACTGTTCTGGCCACTCCTGGGGCATACCGGTAATATTGGGTTGAGGACTTAGAACTTCAGGGCTTCATATTATGGGGTCAGGATGGCTTTTTTGCTTTGGTGTTGTATGGTCTTAGGGTGTGTAGGCTCTGGGTGCTTAGAGGAATTCAGGCTGTAGGAGGTCGCAGGGTTTGAGTTTCCAGTGTTTTAGAGCTACAGTATGGGCTGCGCTTCATCTGAGTCCGACAAATTATACTGTATTCCTCTAAACAGCAGTGGCAGCAGCAGCGATCCTGCCGCTGGGGGTTGTTCATTGTATAGTATTGTCGTTTGCTGCCGAGCTGTGTTGGTATACCAACTGTCTCAGTACATTAATTGGCTTGTACTGCAACCCGTATTCTTGTTCTAGCAGCAGTATAGGTTTGTGATTGTTTCGATTGGTGTTGGTTGTGGCAGTGTCAGGGCATGATCTGCACCCCAAGATGACCTGAGGTTTATGGTTCATAGGGTTCTGGTGGCCGCTAAGCTCATCTCCGCCATCAGACGGGCCCCTCGGGCTTGTCAGTCTCCGGGCACCCACATAAAACTACAATCCCCCATCCAAACCGAAAGTTACCGGGTCGCGCTCGAGCATCAAGAGCGGGCGACCATTCGTGCCACACCATTCGCCCCCTCAAAACCCTTGATGCACCGTCAATTCCATACTAGGTGCTTTGTCGCGCACAACATGTACGCCCAGCAACACAAGCCAGAGTAACAACAACAGCTGCTCGTTCTTCAGATGAGAGGCTGCGCTGCTGCCGGGTGGACTTGGGGATTTTTCTGACCCTGACAGGGGGTTGGCAACTGGAAGGCGATGTAGGCGTTTTCTTGATTGCTCAGGCAAGCACATCCATTTCATTCATATCATGTGATTCATTGCTACGTCCATGCACACACACACACACACGAAAACATTCATTCATACTAACAGTTACTAACACGGACACGTACATGTATGCATACATGCATACGTACATACATCCATCCAT